AATGGACACATACCAGGATGCCCACTGCATCCGTTTAATAGTAAAAAAGTTGCAAATAACCTGAATAACCCTCAATGGAGAAATGGATACATTGTGGTCTAGTCACCACAAGGAATACTATCCCAATTTATCTTTTTAACTACTAGCTTGTTTGATAGAACAGGGGGATATAGAGGTAATAACGTGAGCAGGTAAATTCAAACCTCAGACTGGGAGTACCACCCCCCTTTCTTCCCCAACATACCCCCTGCGAAAATCAAAGTAACCAAACACAGTGGGGGGGGGGGAGGACGGGTGCTATCTGACTCTTGGTCTCACCCCACTTGCCCTTCCCCATCGTCTAAATACAACTAAATTACAATACTTAGGTAGATCACCAATTCAAAACCCGTAAATATTGTTTACAGCTCAGCGAAACACTGCTCTTATTTCCTTTTTGTAAGAGTAGCTGTCTTGTTTCATTTGCCTACTCATATTTACACGCCGAGCCTAGCAGTTTTCCAACTTTTCAAAATCAAAGAACCTTTATTCAAATCAAATCTTTGCTGGAATCCCAGCAAGTTAACACAGAAAAAAGCACAACTACTGGAGGTTGAGAACTGGTACTCTAGGAACTTCCTGCTTTGGGGAGAGTTTGAACTTCATGGAAATTCTTCAGAATATCGGTTTGTTTGTTTACCACAATTTAATCACTTATTGGGGGCGTTTATACTGCTTGTAAAATTTTGCTATTGTAAATATTGTAAATAAGCATTTTATCCGTTTATTTTTGAGTATACATAATTAAAAACTATGAACTCTTCATAAAAGCTTTGTAGGTTCCTGGAACTCCAAGAATTAATTGAATCCAGTCATTTTCAATTTGGTATTACAGTACACTTCAATAGAGTCAAAGTGCTATAATTACAACCAGTCTTACCTAAAATCAATTTTCAAAGCAAATATTACATTTAAAATGAGATTTATACTATATCAATTTACTTATAAGATACTTATTTGTAGGCAAAAAATCTCATGAAAAATAAATCCATGGTCCTTTAAATGTTACTGTGAACTTTTGGTCAAAATAAATAGCACTTCATGTCTTCAAGGCTTAGAAAGGAAGGAAAATCACCTCTTCATAGTGACTGCACATATAAAAAGAAGCATAACTGGCCCAGAAGAGGAAAAGGTTATCAGACACATATAGAATAATTCTTGGCTTGTACCGGTCTTTTTCACCTCAAATACATGCCCAAGTATTTTCATTACAGGTAGATATTATAAGGGAAGAATAAAATATTTGTGGTACAGATCTAATCACTAAAGAAATCACTGCTGCGAATATTACAGATTAGGATTATAGTCAAAGGGGAAAAAAAATCTCATTTTGATTCTACCCATATATAGAAGTTACAGCTCCACTCGAGTTGCGGATACAAAGAGATATTTAGAATAACTAATAACTAACCTCCCAACACCAAGATTATACACCCCTCATTCCTGAATTAGAAAAGCAGAGCTGACAGTCAGTTACATCTGAGCGGGAAATGATACACATAGTTAATAGAAGTGTTTGCCAGGGAAGAATAAAACTGAAACAGAAAATCAGAGGGAGAAGATACCATGGCCAAGAAATTAGCAAGAAATGAGAATTGGTGGTGACGCTGCCTGAAAGGCAATTTATTCTGCATTCGTAGTTACATTGTTTTACTTCTAGACCACAATATAACATACTAAATCACCAAAACAATGGGCAAAAATAAACTCCCTTAGTGTTTCCATTAAAATTTACAGAATAATTCCCAAAGTTGAACAGAAAAAAAATCTTAAAGCAATTGAGCATAAAAACTTCAATGCAAATTGTTAAAATGCCCACTAAGAATTTCCTTCCAAAAGCAAGTAACTCTCAGAATTTCTTTGAAATGAAACCCTATAGTCTAGTCTTAATGATTACATTAACATTCGACCGTTTTACGAATACAATGGATTTTCTGCACATTACGCATTTTAATGTGAAAAATACAATATGCTATCGTCACTAAATACTTTCAGCCACCCAAAACATGGTTCTAAAATCTTTATCAAATGCTTTTCCTTATTACTGAAACCAGATTAACTCCAAAATACAAATAAAGACAATCTGGAAGAGTAAATATGAAGGTTGTATAATTTCTGGCTCAAATGTTGGACTAGTATTATGAAGCCTGAAGGTCTTAGAAAAAAATAGACCTCGAGGGGTATGACAGCACCATCATTTTCACACAGGAAGATCAGATCAATGACAGCGCAACTCCCACAGTACTTCTACATTTAGCATTAAGATATTGACTCATGGTCATAAACTGTACTTAGGCTAAGAAACTAATGGTGAAGCAGCTTAGAATTTGTTGCTTGTATTCTTTGGTTTTCCTACAATATGAGATGTTATTTTAAAACTAAACCTCAAAAAATATGCAACTTGATGTTTCAATATTTACTACATAAAGGAGCCCAAATAAATTGAGTTTTAGATAGGTATGCTAATGTTTTTTGTGGTTTTTATTTTCCTATTTGGCAACCTCCATTTTAGTTTTAGAGCTTGCTATGTGGCTTCTTAGGAGGACTAAGTGTCTAGTTAGCTGGTTGGACAGAGCCTAACAGCACCATGAAAATACATCAAATCCTAACTGAATCCTACGCTTCTGAAAATAAAACTGACTTTAGGTGAAATGAGAGTTGTAGTCACTCGTGGTTATACAAACACATTTAAAACCAAAAACTCAAGTAACAAGTGAAGTATGTTAAGTAAATGTTTTATAATCAACATGCCTCATAATTGGGCAAGAAACGTGTGACAGAAATTATTTTTTTTTAACACATCCATTTGTAACTCGCCCTAACCTTGTTGAATGTTGAGAAAACTGAAAAACCTAACAAAAAAAACTTTGGCATAAAGCCCTGATCCACTTGTCATTAAAAAGGAAAAGTACTGTCTTTATCTGACCAACTTGATGTCAGATCATCTCGGTTGTGGTAACATTAAAAAAAAATATATATATATATATATATATATATATATATATATATATGTGTGTGTGTGTGTATTTGAATGTAAAAATTCAATATAGAAGTGAGACCTTCTAAAAGAAATAACACAAATCTACAGTCATTGAAGACATCCTAAAAGATTACAATGAGCCGAATACATACCATACGAAAATGAAACGCTATTAAGTTTAACCTTAAGTCATGAGTTTTCTAAGTTGAGGCCCATCATTGGAATGTTCCGGGAGAAAAAAGTACACTATTAAAGATTCCACATTGTTTATCTTGCTTTCTAAGTTTCAGCGTAACAATAACCATATAGCCACCACCTCTTCCCCAAGTAAATTTTATGTCAGATCTGTATGACTTAACGTTCATTTACTGTCACGCTGTGATGTCTGGAATATATGAACACACTAGGACTATGTCCAAAGGACAAGGGGAGTGATTCTGAAAGTCTGGGGGTTCCAGAGAACCTTTCAAGGAGGTCCATGAAATCAAAACTATTTACTTAATAATATTAATACTTATTCTTTTTCAAAGTATTATTTGATTGTGCAAAAGAAATGGTGGCTAAAACTACAGACATCTTAGCACATATCAAAACAGCAGTAGCACCAAACAAACTAGTCGCTCTTATACCGTCACTGCTGCACTCAAAGGAAAAATGGAAGAAAAAAGCCAGTTTTGGTTCCCAGTGTCCTTGATGAAGCATTAAAAACTGATTTTATGACGACTTTATCCTTGGGTACACGCCTTTTTAATATCCTGTATGATGAAATGGGACGTGTCGGTTTATAGCATGCTGAAGGGGTCTCAAGCTAGTATTTCAGATGGGCGCTGAACTTAGCCACTTTTCATGGGACACAATTTTTACTTGCAAGGATGACTGCCAGACTATGGTGATTCAGCAGGCATTTTCTTTAAAACGAATACAGTAAGCCCATCATTTAAGGAAAACAACTAATACTTGTTGCCAATAATAAAATTTCGGCTTTCAAATGAGAATTGGAATTTTGAAAAATCTGTGTCTATCACCATGAGCTTGGCAGCCTCCCAACGCTTAAGATTTTTCTGATGAGATCAGTTATATTAACCAAAAAATTTTAAACACTACATAGCTTGTTGATAAAGAACTGCATAATTCGATGAAACAGTATTTTCCAAATGACCGATACATGTTAGAGTCATGCAAAAGTAGAAGCCCTTTCAAACTGCAAGACAGATAAATGAAGTTTAATGTAATAGCACAAAGCTGAATAAGTTTCAGATTTCACACTGCAACTAACCTTCAAGAAACTACCGATTTTGAAGTTTTGATAAGTGTCAGAGGAATATCCACAATTATTTGAAGCTATTAAAATATTCTCTCCCAAATACATATGCACGTGAGGCCAGATATCTTCATATACTTCAAAGCACCACATAGCAACAGACTGAATGCCAAAGCAGATACAAGAATCAAGTCCAACATTAAAAGATTTAGAAAAGCAGAAACAAGCACTTTTAAAAGATTTGGAAAATAGTTTTTTTTTATAAACAATACTATTTATGTTAACAGGTAATGGTTTTATTTTTTTAAACACAATAAATACCAACAAATATAACTCACAAACGCAAATGTTCTTTGGGATCTTCAATTTTTAAGATTTAAATGTGTCCTGAGACCAAAATATTTGAGAACAGCTGGATTAGGGAACTCAGATGTTTAAATACTGAATGTGGGTTTTTCTTTTGCTAACTCACACATCATTTGTATTTCAAGGGCCACTAAAACCCCCAGAGAAAGATTTCTAAAAGTGGTATAGAAAATGTTTTGGGAGTGGAGAAGAGGTTAATCAGTCTTGTCCTATACAGTTTGGTTAATTTCTTGGGATAATTCGCCTACACAGTTTTGTATGAAACATTTCACAATAAATATTCTAACTATATAAAGTGGTTCAAATAACACTCAAAACTGGACTTGTATTTTTAAAAATCATACCAAATAGTAATATGTCACACTGTTTTTTATCAATTCTTTATTTAGGTAACAAGTTGGTTATGTTCACTGCATTGTATGAAACATCACAATATCATACTGGAAAGGTACTATCAGTACAGGGTTGGATCAGAGTGGACAGTTTGAACAATAAACCATTTTGCATTCTTCATTCCCTATCTTTTAACACCCCCCCCAAACCCGGTAAAGGGACAAATAGCTTTTTACATCATCATGTAAAGCACTTTAACTTACAAGGCTAAAATCTAAAGAATAAATAAAATATATCGTGGCAATAATTCCTTTTAGACCAAAAATCAGGTGCACAATAAATCAAATGATCAAGGAAGCTGTCTGAATTCAAATGTGTGGCTCTCCAGACACAGCTTCAGGAAAATGTTACAGAAAATACCATGAATTCCATTTCACTTAGGACCAGATGATGACTTATTTTAACTACACACAAGGGCAATTACATCCTGCTGAAACACAATTTAAACATATAGGGAAATGTTTACAAAGCATCCACAACATGTAAGCCATGTACAAATGGATACATTCATCGCTTCTCCTTCCCCAATAGCTTCTTTTAGATAAATATTTTATTCTCGTGTTCAGCATTAATAGGATACATGCAAAACTCAAAAAAGAATTCAAGGTTATTGTAAAAATAGAATTAAACTAATAATCTTCAAGTACCTTATGTGACAGCCACTCTGTACCGTGCCCAATGTTATAAAATGAAAGGTTACTGAACCCATGAAAATATCTCTGTAATATTTCCTTAGATCTAAAATAGATAATTTTAAATGTATTTATAGTCATTTCAATGTGATATTCTGAGCTTTTAAAATAACATAAACAATTAAAAATTATACCAAATTACACAAAACTTGTATCTTAAAAGCTGAAAAATTAAAACTATAGAAACCCACATGTAAAACAAAAATCACAATTTACATTATAAAGGCAAATTTCATCATTTAAAAAATTTGCAGCAGTGAGATGTCAAAGCAAATTATAAATAGCCATAAATTAATCCATTTGGTTTCAAAGATTTTGTAGTGAGATTTGAAGGATGTAGTAAATACATGCATAAAATTTGTAAGGGTTTATAATATTATTGCCAAATACACTTTATCTTGAAGCAGGCAACATTACAATTTGGACATTATTGGAGAACCCAGTTTGGTAATACAGGTAAAATTGGAAAAAAATTAAATAACAATTAATAATAAATATATATCCTATAGTAAATTGCTCAAATGAAATTTCAAGCCACAGAGCTGCAAAAGGCTTCCAACTTGGTGAACTGAAAAAAGGAACATCTCATATAATTCTTTACTCTTACATGCTTATATGTTGTGTCTTGTTTAAAAAAAAAAAAACATAATGTATCTTCAGAGTACAGCTAACTATATTCCCATGCACCTCAGGCCCAATTGTGATTTGTGGTGAAGTAATTCCATTGGTTTCTAGGGCCAAAAGTTCAATACAGATGTAACCAGTATGCCTGAGGTTGGCAAAAATACTGCAGTACAGGCAATGCTACAAGTGGCAATTATCAGAAAACACAAATGTGAACAAATGATGGGAAATGCTAATGATTTTCGGCTCGTATCACAAAACGTTGGAAATCCACAAGAATATTTTTCCCTTGTATTGAAGAAAATTGTGATTAAAAGTTTTTTTCCCCCAATTTTCAGAATCAAAAGCATTTTAGAAGGTTTATAAGGCTACCATGGGTCTTCTAGATCTCCAGCACCCTACAGGAAGAGAAAAGGAAGAATATTATTATTATTATTTACCTACACCACTTCCAGGTTGGATTGAATTCAAAAGAAAACAAAATTAGATGAACAAATTACCTTCCTTTGTTTGAAAAGGTACTTTTACAGAGAGGTGTGTGTACTGTATATTGTGTGTATATCCATGGATATAATACAGATAGCTGGCTGTTTTTTTTTCCTCCCCTTTCCACCAAATGCCTTCCTCTTAAACCACTTAAAAGTATTCCGGCATTGGAAAAATAGATTGAAACATCAGCTACCTCTGAAGATTCCAAAGTTTCAACTTACAGTACCTTAAGCAACTTTAGACATGTTATAAATATAAACGCAAAGAAAAGTTAATGTCCACATTTACAAAATAATTGTTTTAAGAAATAGTTTTCCATGTGATTAACAGTTATCTGTACTTTAAAAATCCATTTTAACAAAAGCAAAACTTGTATCTGCACTATTTAAAACACCCCGTAATTCTTACATTTATTCATAATCTGATGAACCCTTGCAGCAAAGCTGACAGTCTTGTAATCTTTAAAATGCTCACCATGGCAATTTTCTGACATGTCTATGTGTGTCCATTTTGTCCAAAGATTAATATTTTGTACCAGAAAAAGGGGATAAGAAACAGAATTGATTTACTTTAAGCTGGACTTCTCAATTTTTTTTCTTTTAGTTAATGAAAAAGGCCAAGCCAGAAGTTTTCTAAATTTTATATAAATACAAACGAATTTCTAATGGGCATTTTTCCAATATACCAATCCTGTTTTTATTTTAAAAAATAATTTAAAAATAAGTACAACATGCATAGATTATTCCACATCACATGCTTTATTTGGACTTAAACACTTATAATTCATTCTAAACACTTGGTTGACATACATTTTGATGTATGTAGTTAGTCTATACAGAATATACAAACCAAAGCTATATGAATAATACACAGGTTTTTCAAAAATTACGTTTCATAAAGAATACAGAGAAAGGAAAAGTAACCACACATCCAATAGCTCAGAACTTCTAAAAATAAAACTACAGAGATGTAAAATATAAACAAGTCAAAGTTGAACACACAAATGATCATCCTTTAAAAAAAAATTACAGACCAGCATCTGCCATTCTTTGAAGAAAATTACTAAAGAAAACACAAATTTATTACAAAGCTAACTATGAGTACACTAATATGTAAAATAATGTAAAGTAGTATAATTCTACATTAACAGGTTTTTCCACAATATATTTCAATCTTGCTAATCAGTAATCTCTAATCCTATCCAGTATGAATTTACTGACTTCAATAACTGGTAGCCACAAATTTTGGCATACAATATGAAATGACATATAATTTTATTAAATTCAAAGTACTATAAATAGTTAATTTTAAACTGTCTGATAAAGGTGTATGCAAAGGTCTTCTTAAAAAACAAGGCTATCAATGAATATAATAAAACTAGTTTACCAAGATTCAAATAACAAAACGGTTATATAAATCCATACATTATACTTCCTAAGTAAAAACCATCAAATCCAAGATCACAAAAATACCACCACAAAGGAGTCATATCTTTCCACCACCCATCTGTGTCCCTGCATCTTCATTACAGCTGTCTAAGTCAGCAGGGTCACTGTTTGATTCAGTATGGCTTTCCTGCATTGTCACTGGGCTTCCAGCATCACTGTGCGAAGAAGTAGCTGCAGCAGCTGGTTCAGCAGGGCTTTCTTCTCCCTCTACTTTAGCTAGCCTGTAACTAGTCAGCATCTCCTCCAGAAGTTGTCGGTAGTTGCCCCTATGATTAATTCTCATTTGCCTGAGAGCTTCCACCAATTTCCCCTGTGATCCACTTTCCTCTGCTTCATCGGAGGCCTTTTTTTAAGATTCAAGACCCCAGTGTCAGTAGACAAACTAGGATATCACATGTATTTCATCACATAGCACAGCACAACACTCATTTTGCTACCATGAGTAATATATAGTCTAAGCACGAGAACATTTCATTAAATAAGTATCGTCTTACTTGTGTCAATTAATAAAAATTTCAAACTGAAATAGCTCGTTATTTTTAGCAAATTACCATTAACTAGTTTACGTCTTATTTCACATTGTAATTTTAAATTTAATCTGAAATTTACTCTGTTATTAGAATTCAACAGCAACACAAGCATTTCCTAAAACTGACTTACTTAAGAAAACAATAATTGGCTATAATGGTTTAGTATAAAAGGAAATTAGTGTGTAAAGCAATAGGAAAGGACAGAAAAGCAGGCCATTAGAACATTAGTTTCATCATCATTTCTGCTAAATGACAGATAGGAGAGAAGATACAAAATGTAAAATTATATAAGCTCAAACTGGATTTTGGGGAAATTAAAGAGTTTGTGGATAAAAATTTTATTTACTTTTTTATTTTAATAAAACATCTCTAGATAAAAATAGACAAATTATATTAAACATTATAATAAGATATAACTACTTATCCTTTATATATTTTATTAAATTTTGGAAAACCTACAGGTTTCTACAATAGTAGCTACTTGTAATCCTGTTAGCAGAACAAGGTCTAACATCCAAGCTGATCACAGTTAAGCTGGAAGACTAAAAGCCAGACAACCTTACATTATGTGCCTCCTGATGTGATGAGTTAGGAGTACAGAGCCATGTCCTGTGTTCTTGCCAAAAATGCTTAATATAAACCTAATAGAGCTAATTCCTACTTTACAGGAAACGGAATAGAGGATCAAGTTACAAGACAACACAAGAAAACAATCATATGATCCAGAATGTAAGACATCCTATAAAAAGCTGGGGGGGGGGGGGAAGCTTGATTAAAGACTTGTTTAATATACTAGATTGATAGCCTGATAACCTGATTAGACCATGGTTCAAAATAACAATTATAATCATCATTCTAGGGACAACTTGGAAAATCTGGACTTGATGTTAGATATTATAAAATTTATTACTAATTTTCTTAGGTATCAATTATAGTTATGTAGAAAATGTCCTCATTCTTAAGAGGTACACGCCAAAATATTTGGAGGTAAAATATTACGATGTCTGCAATTCGCTATCAAAGGTTTGGCCAAAAAAAGAAAAAAGTATCTCTTTATACGCACACATGTATAAACAGATAAAGCAAATATGGTAAAATGTTAACAATTGTTTAATCTAGATAGGAGGTATGTATACAGGTGTTCACTATGATCACTGCAATTTTTCTGTACGTTTGGAAGTTTTCATCATAAAATGTTGGGAAAATAAAAAAGGTTGATAGTACAGATGATCTGACAGAAATTCTTAACCATCTTTGGAGACTGTTATTCTATAATTCTGCAACAAATACTAGTATAACCACATAACAAACAACAATGTTTACAGAAAAATAAGAATACTTGAACGCTTTTTTTAAAAAAAATTGCATTTGTGGCAAAAAGACAGTGTGTATGGCGTATGTTTTATGTGTGTGTTTGTGTATGTCCATGTATTTGTTCATTTTAGCATATTATATATATAAACAGCCTGGGAGGAAAAGAAATATAGCAATACATAAATAACGATAATGGGTAACAAAGTTACAGATACTTTCTTTTCCTCTGAATTCTCCAATTTTCTACATCAAGTATATTAACTGTTAAAATAAAATAACTCTAATTTGCAGAATTTATTATGTGAAAGGAAGTTAATAAAATGTGTTCTGTTAAGGTTTTTTTGTATTTCTCCCCCTTACCTTTTCTTCTGTGCTAAATGAACACGTTTCCCTAAATAAAGCTTCTCATTTGAATCTATTCAGGAAAGGTTAAGATGGAACAATTAGTGCCTATCAGTCTTTAATCAGGTCTTCCAAAAGGCAATTCTCTACTGGATAGTATATCACAAAGAATTTTTAATGAAGGGCATAAAACTCCTCCCACCCCCCCCCAAAAAAAATTCAAAGCAACAACTCCCTTTTTATAAAAAAAACTTCTAGAACATTGGCAAAAAATCTGCTTCACGTGGGCAGCTGACTTACACATAGCAAAAGTGATTATCAACCCTGGTTCTCACATCAGAATTACCCGTGGAGCTTTTAAATGTATACAGATACCAAAGTTCCATTCCACGATATTCAGATTCAGTGGGTTGGGGTGACTTTTTCAAAATGTCTGACAGTGATTCTGATATACAGCCAAGGTTGAGGACCACAGACAAAGAGTAAACAGTGTAAATCTACTTACTTGAACTTATTGGTAAGGTTGGATCAAAGGTTGTTATATTGGTTGTATTTCAGTCAATTTTGGTGGGTTCAAAAGATAAGTGCCTCTCACTCTATCTGACACCTTCATTACTACAGTAATCATCTATGTTCTGTAAATTGCTGTAGTAGCAATAGTTGGGGAGAAGTAGTTGCTTAAAAAAACCCCATTAAAATCAAACCTATAAATTAAGTAGGCATGGATTTATAACAGGACATCACAGAACCACTGACTTGAAAAGAACTTGGGCTACTGACCACATGTAAACGTCATTTTATCTTACAGCAAATTACATTTCCCTATTGTGGTGGATAGATGATGGATGGGAGAAACCTCTTCCCTAGCCATTTCATTTGATTCTTTAAAACGTTATTACATAACTCATGGGTTTTCATTAATATCAGAAAAGGAAGCTATTATTTAGCTGCATTTTCTTTACCTGAATTCATACATATATAGCACCTCAAGTATACACATCTATTCTAGCAATTAATTCCACCTTGCAACTGTTTGCAAGTCTCTCCAATTAGACTTAAAAACTCATTGCGGTAAAGATAATTTAATATTACTTTCAATATCCTCCCTACCACACAGGGAAGTGACAGCTAATGTTTGAGCTAAAATTAATGTTTAGATTAAATTAATGTTTAGTCTTCACAGGTACCCTAAGTAATAGGCACTGAAGCCCTAATTTTCTAGGTGAAGAAAAGTAAGGCTCAAAGAGATTTAAGTTATTTGTCAGGGTGACAATG